GACAGTGTACACACGGACTGATAAGAGTGCCTTTATAAATGCAGCATGATATATTTCATCCACATTGTATCGGTCTCATCTGACTCCTTGTCGCCTCCTTGAGATGACACACACTTATTACACCTAATTCCCTATATCTCTTGAGGAACAAACCACTTGATATATTAGCAACGAACGAATAAATAGGAAGATATATGCTTAGGTTTCATGAGAAATGACTTGGATAGACAGATGGAATTTCAGTATTGAGGGGATGTTTGCAATGTGAATTGTCTTTCTGACCATAGGAAATAAGAAGAAAGAAGAGATGACGCGATACAGCTTGATATCAACAAATTATTTCCCCCCAGCAGAAACTGACACAGATATCAGGATATCATCTGACTGCTGAGAGATCATTGACCGTCTGACTGGAAGGCGAACAGTCAGACTGTGGTGCGTCATCTACTCTGTCTGTCTAACTGTCCGTCTGTCAGTGATTTAGATGCGAATTGATATCTACGTGTGAGTAGGAAGTGCTTACGCTTACTGAGAGTTGATGATGGAAATAGAGGAAATCACGAGTAATTCATTAGTCATGTCGTCCTCGTGATTCGACATCCTAGTTTGTGGATTTTCTGAACGTGTGAGTTGAACACGTGTTTGTGAGTTTTTCACTCAATCAATTCAATGTGATCATCAATTTGCTTCTTCTCATCTGACTCAGCAACACTTCGAATTCACACGTCTAGAGCTTGCTAACGGAATTGTTATGTGACTTGCAATACAATGAATCCTGAACTACATCTATTTCCAGGGCGAATGGCTAAGCAAATGTGCAAATAAATAGTTCACTATTTCCACTTGTAGTCGTTATACTGAGAGGATATTTACTGCAGGGATGAGTTTCGCTTCAATCCCATATATCGTTAATCACTGTTATGGGTAGACATCAGATTTTCTCATTCAGTCCAGGATTATGCTTGCAAAAATTATCTATCAGATTTGATTGCGGATTATCGCAAATGCCTAACAATAATAATGTAGAGTGGTAGTGGTGGGGATTTGCTTGAAATAGATGTGTTTCATTCAATGCTGCCGTTAGAAACTGCAAGGGAGATGGGTGAAAGTCCTCTTTGCATTCTCTTGTGGCTTTGCTTTCGAATGACAGCCACGTATGTCATTATGTTGGTTCAGTGGCATTTCGACTGATTAAGCGGGATGTTCGCATTAGCACTAAACTGGTCAGTGACAGTAAGAGTGAGTGTGCATTTTCTTGTAGGCTGCATTATTTGACAAGCCGGTGGACAGTGAATGATTTCACATTATTTCACCTCATTTGATTGGAATCCGCTTATTTGGATATTCAGTAATCTGCAAGAAGTAATGAAGTGCGAGGCAGGATTTCCTGCATATACGAAAATCAACTAGCATCTTCACCCAGTAATGTTATGTCTTGTGATAAGTGAGTCGAACATGCCCTATACAGATTTCAGTGGTAAGTTGTACGTAACGAAATGCAGTATACAATTATTTGTTTGTGTTATGAAGACAGTTTCTTCCTAATTGAGTGTTATGATTACATTTTGCATGATAACACTTTTGTATACAACTTTTTTTTGAGTTTTAGTAACTTGAGATTACATGGCTGTTTCACTGTTGACCAATTCATGATTGTGTCATGAAGATTCGAGAATAGTCCTTTTGTCATATCCAGTGCTGCATGTCTATTTACGTCCATCCATCCCATAATAATGGTATAACGATTATAAATCATAAAAAGGAAAATGAAAGTGAATTCAAGTAAAGTATCTCTGAAAATGTCCAAGTCGACTGATTTTCGCATGAAACATCGTGCTTTGTGTTCATGTATACGCCGTTTGATTGAAATTATCTCAACCAGAATGGAAAGTTTTAACTTTAAGATGTATAGCTGCATCAATCACTGGTGGTGTACAACCTGTCTTTGCTTTGCTGTTCTTTACTCAGAAATGTATGCTACATATTTAATTTAACTCAAAAACCAGATGAAATGCAAATCAGGGTTAATTTCTTTTCAAGTATTATAGCTGGACTTGGCTTAATTCGATTGATCTCCTCTACTTGTCAGGGTTATTTTCTCGGTGCTTCGGGTGAAAAGTTAACCAGACGTTTACGTGAGAATCTGTTCGCGTCTATGTTGAAACAAGAAGTAGCATGAGATGATCAACCAGAGCATAGTCCAGGTATTCTATTGGTTAGGCTAATAACAGATGCAAATAAAGTGAATACACTTTGTGGTGTATCATTGGGTCGATTAATTGAGTCCATTGTACTAGTGTGATTGCTTCATTAACTATCGGTTTCGTCTATAATTGGAAATTGACTTTAGTTGTGTTAGTTTTCTTCCCAGTGATTATGTTATGTGCATCGGTGGCACAGTGGTTAGGACGCTCACCGACCATGCACATATTGCGGGGTTCGATCCTCTGCCGATGCACATTTGATATCAATGGTTGGCCTGCAAAATTTGGGCTACCAGTGGTATCACATGCTGAAAATTCCATACTTCTACCAAAAAGTACAGTGTGGAATCAAGCTATAATCAAAAACAATTTACAGCTTCGTCAAATTCGTAACAGTTCTTAAGGCAATAAAGCGACTGCAGCAGCTCGTATCATTATTATTATTATTATTTATGAAGCTCTTAGTTCAACAAGAACAATGTACGCTTATAATTTCGAAGATTACTTTTATAAACAGTATTGTTCTATACTCAATTCGGAAATGACTGCTGGTAATCGTAGCTTCATAGTTTTATTCATTTGTCTATGCATTGGCTCAATCATTGCCAATATGTGCATACGCAGCTGCATTTTCATGTGGAGCTTATCTAATGAGTATTGAAGAGATCACTTTGATGGCAATATTCAGGGTCTCCGCTGCTATCAGTTTCGCAGCTCAAGCACTTGGTAGAAAGAACATCACATATTGGCCGGCCCAGAAATGAAACATGCCTCATTGGCGGCAGCTGATCGAATTTTTAAACTTTTAGATCGAAAGTCTAAAATACCTGTCAGTGAAGGTGGTTTATTTATACCTTGATCAACCTTTAAATAGTTTACCTATAGAATTTAGACAAGCCCCATTCCGTTATCCATCTCGGCCAGAAACTTGTATTTTAAAGAACTTCTCACATACATTTGAACCTGGTCGAAAGACAGCTATGGTAGGACTTTCAGGATCTGGTAAAACCAGTATACTTAGTTTAATTCAATGGCTTTATGACACTGGAAATGTAGTATATTTTTCAATGGTATTAATCGTCGAGTAATTTTACGGAAATGGATTCGTCAACAAATTGGTGTTGTCAGTCAAGAACCACAATTATTCAATATTTCTATTATGGGAAATATTGCTTATGGGAATAAGGCGAATAATGCTATAACAATGGATGAAATAATAACCAATGCAGCACGTCGTGCAAATATTCATGAATTCATCACGAGTCTTCCAGAGGGTTACAATACGCTAGCTGGTCCCCGTGGAGCACATATACCCACTGGCCAACGACAAAGATGGAAGGAAGCACAACATTTGATTGATTTGTTCTGGCATAGATGGCTACGTGAATATCATCCGATGCTGCAAACAAGATCTAAATGGTTGGATATAAAGTGTAACCTACAATCTGGTGATCTCGTCCTAGTTAACAGTGCTGACACACCGAGAGGTCTCTGGCGAAAGGCTATAGTTAAGCAGGTGTACTATGACCAAGATGGCCGCGTCAGGACAGTGCGTTTGAAAACTGCAACTCAAGAAGTCGAACGAGGTATAAGAAGCGTATGTTTGTTGGAAGAGGCAGACAACTTGAAGGTTCCAGATACGAGAAGTCAACGTGATGATCGTTCGCAGGGAGCGTTAATCGTGATAGGTAGATATAATGTATGATAGACAGCCAATCAATATGATGTGACCTTGAGTGTCCTTTGTTTTCTGTCACTTTATTTGTGTGTACATGTAATTTATTAACCGTTCATTTAGTCCGTTCCCTCAATACTGTTCGGTACGTTTTTCTCTTTTTTTGAGTGACAGAAGGTTTATATATTTTTCCTGGTGTAATTGCATGATTTATTTTATGTTTTAGAAACAGATAAAGTTAAAGTCAAGTCACTCTGTTTTTAAATATAGTCAAGGGAAAACTCTGTATTGTCAGTACTAAGCGGGAGTACTGATGTGTAGACAAAACTAATCCTAGAGGCCCTTATGCGACTTGTTCCAACACCTAATGGAGTCGGGGAAACTGTCAAGGAAGTGGAAAAGAGCCATCCTTTCTCCGATCTTCAAGCGTGAAGATGGTCAAACTGCCACTAGTTATTGACCATTAGCTCTACTCCCAGTCGTATTGATATACACATATATATATGTATATATATACGTATATATATATATACGTATATATATATACATATATATATGTATATATATATACATATATCAACTTCAAACTTAATCAGCTGACTGTTGTTACGTGTCCCTTATTTCTTTTTCTGTATGATAGTCTGAATAAATTCATTAATTATATCTATAATTATTACGATCTTTATTTTGACGACGATACCGGAGGACTAACTGATGAAAGGATCAACTCCATTCACAGTAGTAACAGTCTTAACACACCTCATACTACAAACCACATATAATTAATCCCAGCACTACTCCTTTTGGAGTCAACCAAAGGTACGACAGTCGAGTGGGGTGGGACGAGCTACTCAGAGGTTTACTGAAGATCAGGAACCTATACCTCACAATCAAGAGGCGATCACAAAGAAATCAAATTGGTTTATACTAGCTCGTAAAAGCGATATTGGATATATTGGATTCGAATTACATAAATCAGACAATTATTGTATGCTGGACTTGTATTTTAATTATCTTTTACGATATTAATTCTTGGTTTAGTCATTACTTCAGTTTTCGTTTTTAGACATCCTACTGTTTATTTTCGGTTTTTTAATCTAGAAATTCAGACATCTTCCAAAATGTCTCCAGTTACCAAAGCCTCTCACAATCAAAGTTTACCTGTTTATCCTATGGATGAGTTGTTAAAAGCACGTAGTGAGTTTAGATATCGGTGGAGAAGACGAATGACCGAAAATCCCTTGGCCAGATTAATCATTACTGATCATTACAGATACCCGTTTAATATAATCTTGAAAAACTGGGAGAAATATCCGTTTGATGAGACTGGTGATGAGTCAGACAAGCGTCAGTTCCTTTCAACTATGAGTGATAAAATGAGAAATAGAATAATAATGTTGAGGTCACAACCTTATATACCTTCTGAAATTCATGATAATATGATATCTGAGGAAGATTTTCAGCATGTTTGTTCACTACTATCAAATGAGGTGTGCATCACAGAGAACTATTTTCAATCGATAAGTCAAAATCAATGCATTTCAGCATGTTATTTTATATGTGATAATTGTGATTTTCTTGGGACCAATGAAGACGCAGTGGAACACTTGAAACAAACCGGTCATTCAACGTGTAGTAAATACACACCAATTTATTATGTCGATAAGTCTGATACTGCAAAACCTTGTGAACTAAAAGAACCACGGGTCATCACTTATCAACCTGATCGAATTTATGGTTGGAGTATTGGTGATTCAGTGATATGTTGTCCTACGTGAAATTCGACAACAGTATTGAGGGAACGGCCTAAATGAACGGTTAATAAATTACATGTACACACAAATATTGATTGAAATAATGAACACTCAAGGTCATGTAAGAATAAGGCTTGGCTTAACTTTGACCTAAAATAACCACTCTTACAAAACTTCTTCACCGCTTATGACCTTAATCGTACTCTGCCTAACGTGCAAGTACTAACGAACGGAATCAATGCTATAAGAATTGAGATGGCAACTGTGACTGGAAATGAATTGTATTTACACAAAAGAGATATGGAATTTGATAAGAAATAAGAGGATACACACTTATCTGCAGTCCTGACTTTGGTAGGCTATGAGGGTGCGCTGGATGAAAGCACAACGATATAGAGAACCAAGAACGTACGAGTTCCAAGAATCGAAAGAGAAGGAAGTACTAAATGCCCGGTGAGTCCGTTCAAACAAAAGTTCGAGAGTTCAACGTACACTACAGTCACATCACATAGTGTGACAAGGTCACTGTTAATCGCGATAGATAGATAGATTGTATGATAAACAGCCAATCGATATTATGTGACCTTTTTGTCGCGATTATTGGCCAATTAATGTAACTTACACCACGTGATGGTGACCTTGAATGTTCCTTTTTGTCTGTCACTTTACTTGTATATACATGTAATTAACTGACTAATCATTTTGTCCGTACCCTCAATACTGTTCGGTACGTTTTTGTCCTATTTTTGTAATGACGGTGGATTTGTACATTTTTCTTGGTGTAATTGTATGGTTTATTTTATGTTTTAGAAACAGATAAAGTTTAAGTCAAGTCATTCTGTTTAACTATAGCTACGCCAAGACTCTGTGTCGTCAGTATTGAGGAAGGACTAAATCTGTAGGCCAAAATAATCCTACAAAGTTTCGAACAGTATTCCAGACGAAAGTTATGAAACTATGCCGTCGTTAACTCCACAGTTAGAAAAGAGTAATGAAGCTGATTTCCCTGGAAGCAACGAGAATAAATCACACTATATGGTAGAATTGGAGCTAGCGAAATTGCGCATACTCCAAAAAGAGAAAGAAATGGAATTAGAAAGATTACGACAAGGTAGTCGCGAATGTTCTGGTCACAATAAATCCCCTTACAAACCTTCTACTTCTCATAAAGTCGCTGTATCTCCTAATGATGAGTTCGCCAGAATCATATCTGAGTTTCTGGACATGCTTAAAAGATATCAATATTTTAAGATGGATGCCGATGAGCTTGAGTATTGGATCAATGAAAAACTGCAAACCTATGCAAACGAGGATTTTAAGGGACTGAATAATCTTCAGCTGGAAAAACAGAAACATCAAGAGCTTGAGTTCGAAGTAACAGTTCATGCTGAAACACTGTCAGCTCTGGATTCTGCGAGAGAAGAAATGATTGGTCAGGGGTACTACGCAACAGATATCATCAAAAACCGTCTTGATGAGTTGCATGCCCTGTGGGAAAGGCTTATGGCTATTTTCAGAGAAAAATCCAGTGTCATTAACCTAAAGCTTAAATTTGTCCAGTTCTTACGCCAAGTCGAGGAGATACTTTTCTGGATACGTGAAAACGAAACTTACGTAACATCAGAGGATTTAGGTCAAGACTTGGAACATGTTGGGACACATCGAAAAACGTTTGATGAGTTTACAAAGGATCTCGAGTATCAAGGAAGTCGTGCCGAAGACATCTATGGGAAGGCAGATGAACTTCTAAAAGAGAAACTTCCTGAGGATGCCCTAGTCATAGAAAAGTTCAGACAGGTCCGCGAAGCTCTAGAACGTCTGAAGGATCTGACTAGAAAACGACAAGAAAGGCTCCTGGAAGCCTATGAGATACAGCGCTTCTTTAGAGACACAGATAAAGCTATATCGTGGGTGAATGAAAAGTCCATTCCTTTATCCATTGAGGACTGTGGTCGTGATCTTGCCTCAATTCAAGCCTTACAAATGAAGCACGAAGCATTAGAAAGGTGTTTGACTGCCCCAGATGAAAAGATTGTTCAACTTGGAGATGATGCTAAGGCACTTGCACAGAAGCATCCTGATTCGCAAGACACTATACAAGGGAAGTATGACGCATTAATTACTGCATGGGAAAAGCTGAAAGGTCAGGCTGTAGGTAGGAGAGGTAAACTGGAAGAGTCATTCAAGATGCATCGCTTTTTGGCTGACTGGAGAGACTTGAGCATCTGGATGAATGACATGAAGACGTTAATATCGGCGGATGATTTGGCAAAGGATGTTGCTGGTGCTGAAGCCCAAGTAGAGCGACATAAGGAATACACCGCTGAGATAAGTTCTCGACCTGACAGTTTCGATACATGCATGCAAGAAGGTCAGACATTACAAAGAGTTGGCCATCCCTGTAGTGGAGACATAGCTGCTAAACTTTCCACCCTTGAAAGAGAGAGAGCCTCCCTGATGCAGTTGTGTGAGGAAAGACGTGCACAGCTAGAACAGTGTATGAGCCTTCAGTATTTTTACAGCGACGCTGAACAGTCGGAATCTTGGATTGGTAAGCAAGAGGCCCTCCTAGAAATAAAAGATGTGGGAGACTCACTCGATTCTGTGGAAGCACTCATAAGGAAACATGAAGACTTCGAAAAGTCACTTTTAGAACAAGAAGAAAAGATGCAACAACTTGATGAATTCGCTGCAAAATTAATCGAATCAAACCACTATGCGGCTGCACAGGTTGATGAGATTCAGGAAGGTCTTCAAAATAGACGAAATGCATTGAAGGAGAAAGCTCAGAACCGCCGTCAGCGTCTTCAAGATTCCCACCATTACCAAATGTTCGATAGAGATGCGGATGAAGTGCAGTCATGGATATCAGACAAACTTAGAAATGCACTTGATAAAAGTTACAAAGACTCCACGAATTTGCAAACAAAGGTGCAGAAGCATCAGAGTTTTGAGGTAGAAATACAAGCGAACCAATCCCGCGTTGAAGATGTTAAAAAGACAGGTCAGGATTTGTTAAATGCAAACCACTACAACTCGCCAGAAATAAAAGTAAAGATTGAACAGTTGGATGAAACTTGTTCTCATCTCGTAAATGCCATGGGAGACAAGAAGAAAAATTTAGATCAAGCAAGTAGGCAACAACAGTTCGCTCGCAACATAGAAGATGTCGAGTTATGGTTGAATGATGTTGAAGCTCATATAGCCTCAGAGGATGTCGTTCGTGTTCTAAACGGTGTGATGAACGCACAAAAGCGGCACAACTTGCTTGAATCTGATGTAGCTACTCATCGTGAACGTATAGATGCATTCAAAGTCCAGACTGACACGCTTGCTGCAGAAAGTCATTTCGACGCTCCTATTATCGAAGAAAAACAAAGACAGTTAGCCCAACGTTACCATGACCTGCAAATCCCTCTAAGTCAACGTCGTGAGAAGTCAAGAGATTCGCTTCCCTCGGACACATCTTTGCAGCTTGAATATGGTGACTATAGTGAGCTGGTGAAGTTACTAGTCGATTGTTGTAAAGATTTTAAAGCACATTCGCTCAACCAAATCGAATCAGAAATGTGGCATCAGTATGCTGAAAGCTTCACTACTGGCTCAGTAGCCACTCACAAAGATGCCTTCAGGTTATGGGTTAAATATAAGAACCCTGTTGTTGTAAACTATATTGGGTTTATCCAGTCATACCGTGATCCCTTTGGTGTTCGTGCAAGGTTTGAATCATTTGTCGCTGTTGTAAATAGATCACTGTCAACAAAATTCCAGCGACTTGTAAATAACGCTGAAAGGTTGTTAACAAATTTACCACGGCCTTCTACATATGAAAGAGATAAATTCTTACAGTCAGACCTTACTAGTTTGGATGTAGTGACTTTTGCAACTGCTGGAATTCCTGTTGGAACTAATACTCCTAACTATGATAATGTACGACAAGTTGATGGATTTGAAAATGTTTCTTTGAATAATGTACTTAGTGTTCGTCTCGAAGATCCTAAACCAGAATTTCTACGTAATGAAGACAAACAAATGTACGTGGGACACGCTGAAAGTTCCTTTGAATTACAAGTTGGACTTCATGAACTGATGGGATATGGTTCTGGTAAACCGTTTCGGCGTGATTGTTATGGAAAACGAAATTTCCACACGGAAACTACTGAATATGTCATAAATGGAGGTCATATAAAAGATTGGTGTGAACCAGGAGAAACGTATGACAGCAAGTTTCCAAACCTTCCATCTGCAATAGATAAGTGTCGAGCTGAGTGCGTTGGAATTTATTTATCTGATTTACCTCTTGTTCTAGAGCAGTTCGGTCTGAACACCGACTGTGCTCAAGGCGATGTCTCAGATGTAGTCTATATTAATTGGTTGTCAATGATTCCTTCAGTTGTAACTTCCATGGAGTTTTATTCTGCAGGAGAAAATGCTGATGACATTGGATCATGGTGTCAAGTACATTATTGTGCTTGTTATGCGATTCTGCGAGTTTTGATTGAAGCTGACGATTCTATGGGACGTGCACATAGGGTAGTCGGTGAGGACGATGCATCTGATTTGTGTATTTCTTTGGATCCAAAAAGACCTTTAACTGTGGCTCGTTCAGCAATTGGTGAATTCTTAAGAAAATTACAATATTACAAAGGCGAAACGAATGCTATGTATGGATATGCTTTCTTCCAACACTATAGTCAACTACTTCCAAAATGTTTGTCTGATTTGCTCTGGCATAAATGGCTACGCGGATATCTTCTGATGCTGCAAACAAGATCTAAGTGGTTGGATATAAAGCACAAACTACAACCTGATGATCTCGTCTTAGTTAACAGTGCTGACACACAGAGAGGTCTCTGGCGAAAGGCTATAGTTAAGCAGATGTACTATGACCTAAATGGCCGCGTCAGGACAGTGTGTTTGAAAACTTCAACTCAAGAGGTGGAACAAGATATAAGAAGCGTATGTTTGTTGGAAGAAGCAGACAACCTTATGGTTCCAGGTAGGAAAGGTCAACGTGATGATCG